TAATAAGAAAATAAAAAGAGTAATAATACATGCAAAAACGATAAAAAAAATTTCCTGTTTCGGCGGGTGTTAGTTTACAGGATGCAAGCATAAATGAGAGACAGCTGTTTCTAAATAAAAAGAACATGTCTATGTAAGGTTATCGAATTTACCAGGTATTATATCTTGTGTTCAAACCATCCCTTCTTTCATATAAATCCATAGCGCTACGACCCCGTATCATGCTTTTTATCCTTCCCTCCCTCTTATTTTTGCACGCAACATTTAAAAATTAAACAGCTTTTAATTTTTTTTTTTTATTTCATTTTACGTTATTTTATTTTAATATAATTTTATTTTATCAGTAATTTATTGTAATTATATAATTGATTTTTTATTTATTGCATTATAAATAAATAAATATATATAATTATAAATAAATCAGAAAACAAAATAGAAATAAAATTTCATTTTTCTATTTTTTTTAGACGAAAAGAACTAAAATGCCATTCAACAAATAACATATCAATATTCGTCGTATAATTTAAACTATTACAAGAATTTAATTTTAATATATTTTAATAAATAAAAAATAAAAATCCTAAAACATAGCTAAACAATTAATTTATCATCATTTATTATTATTATGAATTTATTATTTTATTATTATTATCATTTTATATTAATATTAATTTTATAACTTATTAATCTTACATAAAAAATACAAAATAAATAATAAATTTTATTTTATTTAATTTTACTCATTAAAATAAATATATCTATATTAATAAAAATTTTTTTTATTAATTCATGAACAAAGATTAATAAGAATAGTATTTCAAAAATTTAGAAAAATTTTAGAATCAAAATTTATTAAATTAAATTAAAATTATCTATTAAATTAAAAAAATCTTAATATATAACCTAATAATTAAATATAAGTTCAAATAATAGTAGTTTCGAAATTATAAAACATTTTCATTATATTTTGTTTATATATATTTATATTTATATTATAAATTCAATATGACCGTTTATTTCACAGTTCGACATATATTCATAGAAACATGTATATATATTAAAAGATTCAATATTTCTCTTATTTTTCAACAATAATTTTCAATTCTCAATTCATCTAATTAATTTGTTTAAACATCATCTAAACATAATTTTTAAATGTCGCTGCAATTAGCGAACTGGTAAAAGCTAAGAAACTTAATTTTGAAACTGATAATTGGATTCGAATTATATTTTTATATTTTATTATTACTAAATAAAAAATAATTTATTATTCACAACTATTTATAAAAAAAATTAATTATTCAATAAAAAATTGTTATTAAATAATAAAAATACAGATAAAATTATATATTGAAAAATAATATAATAAAAATAATTATATATTTATAAATACATATTATAAATACATATACATACGATATAAGTCAATTTTTTTTATAAATAAATTTAATTTCTTATAATAATATATCTTTTTAATTATCATAATTATAAAACAATAAATAATAATAAAAACAGTTATAAATATTTTATATATATTTATAATTATAAAGAACTTATAATCTATATCCGATGTATAATATTCATATTTTTTAAAAAATTATTATATTGTATAATCTACTTCCCGCCAAATATCCTATATAAAAATTATTGGAACTTTAATAACTTCATAAAAACTTTAAACTCAAACAAATTATAAAAATAATATTATTATAATATTATTATAATCTATAACTAATATAACAATAGTATTTATAAGTATACTATATATATCAAATATACATTAAAAAAAGCAATGAAAATGTATATTTACTTACTTTCAAATTCATTAAATCTTTGGATTCTAGCTTTTGAAAATGACATTATCAAAAGTTTTTCACGTATTTAAACAACAATAAATAAGAAAAAATACACAAACAAAATAACTTTAATAGTTAACGCTTTTAACGGATTTTAATTTAGAGAGAACACGGTGACGACAATCACATCTGTCCCCTTTGAACTATAACGCTCGTATGCAAGAGGAAAATCGCTACCTCACTTTCTAGTTGAATCCAAACATTTCTCCATGAGGAATTCTCCACCGGTTTTTCTGATTTGAAATGACGGTTACACAAATGGAACAATAACAGAATGACGAATCACAAGCAAAGATTGCGCAAGCAACCAATCCGGTAAAAGATACGTTTCTGTTTTAAATTAGTGATGTACCAAAAAATTAGATCATCATATATTTAAAATTGATATATATAATTAGAAATTATTTTTTATTAAAAAATAAATCATAAAATTTGACATTATTAATAAAAACTTAAGATTTTAGATATTTAATATATTTAAAAGAAATATTAAATTATGATTTTATATTATGATACTGAATCTAATATAATAAAATTTTTCGATACGCTCCTGTAGATATTAGAATCATAATATTTATAATATTAATATTATTAAAATATATGTTTAATAAATTATATTTAAAAAAAATTTTTGAATAACATAAATAACAAATTTTATAATGCTTTTCATTATTTATTTAATATTATAGAATCAATTGAAAATATTCACGTCTAACTCAAAACATTTTCACGTCAAATGCCACGTTGTATCAAATAGACCAATAAGCTTTCTACATTATCTGTATGATTGTACCGTATTTGCGGTAAAAAATTACTCGTAACTTTATAATAATGTTTACAATGGATTATAAAAAATTTATTATATTGTTGGGAATAATTTTAAGTTTAAGTTATGTCTGTTGCCAATATAGGATGAAAAACGTGAGAATTTAATCAATTTGTTATAACTGTCATACATGTTGAAATGTCAATTAAACTTTTAATTTCACTTATATTTCTATTATTTTAAGATTTATTAATAAAATAATCGCAATAAACATTATTGTTAATAATTTTAAATAATTTTGCACAATATATAATTTTTTAAGACAAAAAAATTTATTTAATCTAGCAATTACTTAACCTAAAAATCAATTCAATTTTTTTATGTTTTATGTAAGTATGATGATATATTTCAGACTCAAGGATCATCATTATCGGATAGAGTGCAGCAATTAACAGAATTATCTCTCACAAGACCTGTAATTAAATTTAATGGTGCAAAATTTAAAGAATATGTCAAAACTACTCCAAGAAATTATTCCGTTATTGTAATGTTTACTGCTATGGCACCTCAAAGACAATGCCATATATGCAGGTAAATTTAATTATTATATATTTTTATTATAATTATAATTTTAATTATATTTAATATTAATTAATTATTTTATTATATTTTTCTAGACATGCAAATGATGAATTTGTAATAGTAGCAAATTCATTCAGATACTTACAATCTCATTCAAAAAAATTATTCTTTGCATCTGTAGATTTTGATGAAGGATCAGATGTATTTCAAATGGTATGTAAAACATTATGTAATTATATATATTCTTATAGTTTTATTTGAATAAATATAGGTATGATTACAATAGATGAGATTAAATGCTGCACCAGTATATATGCATTTTCCATCAAAAGGTAAACCAAAACCTGCAGATACTATGGACATTCAAAGAGTAGGATTTGGAGCAGAAGCTATTGCAAAATGGATATCTGAACGTACTGATATTCAGGTATTTATGCAAATGAATATTTATTATTTTAATATTTATTTATATAAATATTATTATTTTCAAAATATAGATTAGAGTATTTAGACCACCAAATTATTCTGGAACAGTAGCAATAGTAATGTTACTAATTCTTATTGGTGGGTTTTTATACCTAAGGCGCAATAATTTGGATTTCATTTATAATAAAACAATTTGGGGACTTAGTGCATTGGTAATAATCATAAATATACATATTTAAATAAAATTTTACTTTATAATAATATTTTTAAATATTATTTAAAATAGTTCTTTACACTTACAATGATATCTGGACAAATGTGGAATCATATTAGAGGACCACCATTCATACATAGATCATCCAGTGGAAATGTAGCATATATACATGCTTCTTCTCAAGGACAATTTATTTTAGAAACATACATCGTTATGGTTTTGAGTATCCTTATAAATAATAATAATTTAATAAATAAATAATAATTTATAAAAGTTTTAACTCTTTTTCACAATTTCTAAACAAATATATCATGTTTTTCTTAATAAAGAATAATCAGATGGAGCAGTAGTGTTAGGTATGATTTTAATGATTGAAGCTGCTTCACGTAAAGGTGATGTAAAAAAGCGACGAATATTCGCAACGATAGGTGCTGGATTGGTCGCTATCTTTTTTAGTCTATTATTATCGATATTTAGGAATAAAGCACAGGGCTATCCTTATAGGTAAAACAAAAATTTTTTTAAATTGTATTTCTTTAATTAATAATGTATTATTTTTATGGTGGAGTATGTTAATATATTTATAAAAATGTTTATTTTTGATATATATATTATACATATATAAATATATTAGCACACTCCATTTTTTATATTTTTCTAAGAATTAATATTATTTCGTATCCCAGAGAGGAATAATTAATATGTTTCAGCTTATTGTTCAAGTAAAAGGATAAGTATAAGAAGTTATTATTTGTATATATTGAAAGAAAATCTTTCAACTTGCTTGGCAAGATTAAAAATTAAACTACATATAATAAAAAAAATACTTTACATTTAATTATTGTTAAAGTGTTGTATTATAATCATAATTTACATTTGTTTATATGTAATGTAAAATAAATTAATATTTAAAGTCACATATTCTTTTCCATAATTTTTTCATATTTAAAATATTACAAAAATATTTATATTATTAAAATAAAATTCTTTATTCCAATATTCTAGTAATATAAGTATATACTCTATTGGTTTAATTAAATATATACAAATATATTATATTATTTAAAATAATATTATTAAAATATTTTTTAATAAATTATAATTATTTATTATATGTTTTAATAATATCATTATGATTTCTATTATATAATAATATATTCTATAATAACATTGTATGATATAAAAAATTTTATATTAAAAAATAAAAGGAATTAAAATTTTTCGAGATTTTGGATAATTTTTAAATGTGTTCATATACCATTGATGAGTCATTATCGCAGTCCATATCTAGAATAAAAAAATTTATTATTTAAATTTAATATATATTTTAAATATATAACACTAACATAATATACCTGGTTGCATAAGACCCAAATTGTAACATAATGAAATGTAGAACTTTGCCATAAAATTATAGAAAGTGTTATATAAATAATTATCTCTGTAATTTGTAATGCACCTGATACATATTCAAATAGACCATTATGTGGTATTTTATATACTGTAGAATTAATCTTTCCATCTTATTTTTTCGTAATTTACAAAGAATAAAATTTGACTTAAGTTGTGCATATGTTGATAATATAAAAATAGTTGAACATAATAAATGAAAATATGTAATTTTATTCCAAGAAAAATTTCCTTTTGAACCTAATATGATAATTAAGCAATTATTTTAATTTAATATGAGAACATAAATATATTTGTATACATACCTTCAACAAAACCTTCAGATTCACTTATAATACATATTAAGGCTCCTATATAATGATAAAATCCAACTATATAATGAAGCACATTCATTTTTTTATCACTGAAGATGTTTATATAACATGTTTCATATAATCGTTTCCAACAATGAAAAGTTAAAAGTAGAATCGCTATAAATGTACTTTCTGGTGATACTAAAAATGTTTATTAATTAAATCTTTAATTCAAATTTATTAATTTAAATATAAAATTTAATAGTTTTTAAGTATTTACCTAGTGGTTGTCTAAATGATCCCAGACACATATCTAATATCCACATAATATTTTTAGAGATATCATACTCCCATAAATATTTATAAATAACTAAATATAGTATATAACTTGAAGCTGGTGCAGCAAAAATATAAAAATGTTTAAACCATCTAAAATATTATAGATTATTTTTGTTTATTTATAATATATTAATAAATTATATTTAATAATATAATTTTAATATTATTACTCACTTTTTAGGTACTTCTGTTTTTGCAATTATTGGTTCATAAATATTAATAGAATATTTACCATAACAATACATACGAGTTAAAAAAATAGGTAAATAGGATTCCATGCAATAGATTAACAGTCCAATAATACCCGTGAATATAGTACAAAAAATAAATAAAATACGTATAATATTTATTTGCATCTTATATCGATCTTTATTGAAGATATATATAAAATTGTTTTTATTTCCACTTTCGCCAACTACTGTAACAAAATATGTTCATTGCATAGTTATAATATAAAGTGTATTATCATGAATTTTAAAAATATTAAGGAAAAATATCTTAAAAATAATACATATATATATTTATATAATATAAAAATTTTATTTAAATTAATAAATATATACAAACATATTAAAAAAAAGAATAATTTTTATTAGGAAGAATTGTAATAATAAAATATATTTTATTATAGATATATATTTAATTTATACATATTTAAAGTTCGATCACATGAATTGAATTTACAAATACTGTAATTAATATCAAATTTTAAAATTTGATAAATTAATAATATTTACAGTCATACGAGCGTTTGTGTATTCGTAAAATCTTATAGCTATGAAAAATATCTTACATTAGATATACAATAGATAAATGATTTGCAGAAGATAAATGATATAAAAATAGTAACTTATACCGTCTTAAGAATTAATAAACAAAAATGTAAATAAAAAAAGCATGCACCTTATGAATAGTATATATTTACTATTATGTATTTTATATATGAAATTTTTCAATCAATTGGAAACTAACGAATTTTCATATATTAGTCTTAGTTTCATATATTGTTAACTGAAATGAAAAGAATTAAAATTAATCAGAGCAACAATCATCCATTTAATCTATTACAAATAAAAGTTTTAAGGTACCAATTAAAGTTCAAAGTTTAAAATCCAAAGTCACAGATGTCCAAAATATAAGTCCTACAAATTTAAAGTGCAAAATACAAAATCTAGATATTTTTAATAATAAAAGAATTCAAATTCGTAAAAATAATTAATCAACATGATGGTTATGATTAGATCATAGAAATATGTTAAATATAACAATTAATTTTCAAATTATATCCTCTAAACTTATGATGTTTGATGCTCTAAACTTATCATAAACACAAACTTCAATCCTAAAAGTTAAACAGTCATTTTGCAAGAAATCAAGTAAATCTCGTATTCGTACGAATTCTGTATAACCAAAACTACGCTTATTCAATTCACATATTGGTTTTCTAAAGGCTTCAAGATCAGGTCTTGATGATGTTATTTCGCGTATATCTCTTTCACTATTAAGAGGATGAACCAAAACAAAATACATTGTTCCATTAAATGGCCAATCAAGACCATCATCATTTTCTGATTTCATTATATGTAGAAGTAATGATAGAAATTCAGAATCTTTAGAAGATACATTAATTCTAGCACAAATTTTGTAACCATTAGGACTTGTATAAAAACCAGGACTATAAAACATTTTTAATGAATCATTCATCATACTTTCAAGTTTTTCATGAAAAGAATGTAATCTCCAAATATAAACACCATTACAACTACGTAAAAACATTTCTTCCTGATTAAATCTCAAAGAAGTTTGTAAAGTTGTAAGTTGAGTTTTTTGATTAGAAACTGTTATAGATAATTCTCTGTTTTGTTGTTCCAATATCACTATTCTTTCATATAGATTTCTAAAAAAAACTTCATGTCAATATAAGAAAATATTTAAGAAGTTTTATACAAATTTTTTTATGGATTTTTTAATGGAATAATAAAATATACTTTAATAATTGTTGCCATTCTAATGATGGTTCACTTTTTTCCATACAAGACATATTTTTTGGAGGAGGATCCCATAATTTAGATTCTGCAGCTATTGTATTAATATTATTTTGTGAAACAGATATTTGTGGTAATATTTTCAGAATCATCTATGAAATAAATAAAAATTAAATTATTATATTATTATTAAATATGATTCTGTATAATAAAAATAAACTAACAGTTAAATGAATATTTATATTTTTTTCTAAATGTGCATGCAAATCTTCTTCATTGGGAAAAGTTTCCATGCAACCAACATTCTTAAAAGGACAGTATACATTTTGTGAATCTGGAAGTGTTCTTTTATATGTACATTCATTTATATGTGTTTCCATATCTACTGGGGATACTTTAATCTCACAGCCAAATTGTTGATAAGGACAAGGTGTACGTTGTTGTGATATCTCTCTGCTTGTATACAAGTCTCTAAATAAATCACTTTCAGACTTTAAAGGTTTGCTATCAACTGGACAACAAGCACCTTCTTTTCTAAAATAAAAATTAAATTCATATATATATATATGTATATATATAAATTTAATATTAATTAATATTAATATATATGTATATACATATATTTATACATACATTTTTTAAATTAATACCATAAGATATAACTTACTGAAGCCAAGTGTATATACATTGCGAACAAAACTTATGTCCACAAGATGTTAAAACTGGATCACGTAGCCAAGTTAAACAAATAGGACATTCAAATCTAGGTTCAAGATATTCTTTCATACCATCATCATACTGCATGTAATAATTAAATTATCAGTGAAAAATTACAAAATAAAATGTTAATACATATGTTAATACAGAATAAAAGCAAAATTTATTGAAGAGTAAATTAAAAATATAATACAAAAAAATCAATTTTTATAATACAAAATTTAATTCAAAAAATTAGTCAACAAAAAATGGATATAATATTGATATCTATTAATAAATTTATTATTTAAATTTATTAAAAGTACGAATACATACAACAATATTTTCTTCAGCTACTTTAACATGATCTTTAAGACTATCTGACGTGGCCATTATCTACGAAAATTTACAATTTCAAATGTATACAATCTGATATTAAAGAAAAAATAAAAATTATTTCCGTACTAATATGGAAATAGTATATATATATATAATTCGAAATATATTATAATACTTACATGTTAATAATTTTTAAATTATAAGCACAATATAACTTATTTGCAATTATAAGTAGTGAAGTTTATACACAGCAATTACATTATACACACAATAGTACACATATTCTCTAACATAAGTATAACATGCAATTATAAATAAAATAAATAAAAAACAAATTTTTTTCTCTATTGTTATATTATACTAAATAATTTTTCTACCATTGTATTCATAGAATAGAAATATTCATAAATAAATTTAATTTATTTAATTATTTAATAAATTTAATTTTGAATTATTGAATTTCTAAAATAACAATTTCAGAAATACTTATTTAAATATGTAACAGTAGTATCACTTTAGATTATGATTATGATGATATATATTATGAACAAAATTACAAACGTGATTAAAATAAAATTTTTTTTTTCAACTATTTTTCATTAATTTCGATACTAAGATTATGAACTATAGTATAACTATATTATATAACTATATATAATATAATTATATATAATATATAATAGAGTATAATATATGAATTTATAGTATAAATTTTATAATATATTATATATTTATAATATGTTTATAATATATTTATAATATATTTATAATATATTATATAAATAATATATATATATAATATATATAATATTTTTATAATATATTTATAATATATTTTAAATATATTTATAATATTTTTATTATATAAATTAAAAAATTTTCTACATTTCAAAATAATAATTTTAATTATTGTTCAGTTTAAAAATCAAAGTTAATAAAATTAAAAATAAAAAAATTAATTTACCTAAAGAAAGGGATTCTGAATTTTAAAATAATTGATGAAAACTATCAATCGTATAAAGAAAAGTTATTTTCTTTTTGTTCTTTAAAGATAGAATTTAAAAAAAGATTTAAAAAACAAATTACATATGTCAAATGTAAAAACAATTCTTTAATTTCAATAGAATTATATAATGCATTATTAAAAATTGTAATATATATATTTATATATATATATATGAATATATGATTATATATTATATTATGTAAAAAAAATGTATATTTTTTTACATTGCTATTTTGAAAAAATTTAAAGTTCCGTTTTCATTCTAATATGATTTTCAATATTACCGATTCAGTATAGAATTAGATTACAACATTAGTGGTTGGAAATAAAACTAAATTTATAATAAAATTAGATGAAGAATAAAAAACATATCGAGTAATAGATCTATATTATATCGTATTTATGGTTGAATCTTCTATCTATGATTGTATACTAAATCGGTAATGTTGAAAATGATACGAAAATGGTAATGATGAATTAAAGCCTTAAAGTCGTGCGAGAAATTTATTATTTATTTCTTCTGTCAATTTCCAATTTATTTATAATAATCAATTAATATGATATATTTTATTTATTATATTATTAAATTTTTTTTATTTGAATATTCAGTTTTTTTATCAATAGTATATGTTCATTAGAATTATTAAGTATCGTTAAAAATTTACTTAACCTTTTTTCAATGATTACAATTTCAATTTTATTCTAATTGTTATCATGAAAAAAGAAGGAAAAAAAATTTAATTCAAATTTCACGTTACAACAATATATCCTCATCATTAAAAGAATTATTTTTTTATTAATATATTCCAAATATTTTCGATTCAAGATGAATGTACACGTTAAATACAGTAATCTTAATTATATTGATATTATATTCAGTAGTGTCCATGATAAAATGATATATATAAGGAAACTGAAACAAAAAATTAACAAAGAATGTGATAACTTTTATTTATATGTTTGAATATAAAAAATGAAACTGGCATTAAAATAATTAATATATACAAAACATATTAAAAGGAAGGTAAAATCGACGATGGAGAGGAGAGCTTATGGCCTCTCTACATTTACTGAAGTAAACCATTCTTGAACTGATGTTAGAGTTCGCGGGCAGATCGCGGGAACAACCGTACTGGACAACGTTATACGAGTGGCAGATCACAATTATGAGAATATACCGATTTTATAATAAAATCGATTGTGTTGAACTCACTGCGAATTTTTTCTGGTTTCAATGGTAGACGTGCTATTGTACATAGTGGCATGCTTGTCGACATGGAGAACCTGATATATCTCGATAAACCGGAGTCGTAAGTATCAAATTTGCTGCTTCATACGTTTAATCGGGCCAATACAAGAATTGTAAGAATGTAATCAATATAGAAAATCAGTAATTTTATTTAATTATAAATAAAAATTCATTTTAATCATTTAAAATTTGATTATTCAAGAAATTTTATGAAAAAAATTTAAAGATTTTTATTCGTTATTTTATATAATTAAAATTTTCTGCAACCCATTATTTAATAATATAAATACAAAAATGAATAAATTTTCGTTGCAGAATTTTTAAATAACTTTTATCATGATTTTTTATATATACTTTCAATAAAATTAATTTAATATTTCGTTAATATATTATTATATATCATTATATTAATATATCGTTAATATATCATTGTACTAAATAGAAAGAAAAATTGTTATAATTTAAATTTTTTTAATGATTATATATATTAGAATATTTATATTATTAAAAATATCACAAGTTTTTTTTATGATATTCATAAAATATAATGCTTCCAAATATAATTTTATAATAGAATTAAATTAAAACTTTACTATATTTCCAAAATTATCGATATAACTATTTAATTTTAATTTACGTTCATAAGGCTCAATAAGATTTTTATCGCTAGAAATATATTCGTAAAATTAACGCGTGTAAACGATAGTAATCGATAGATTTGTAATATCATTTGTGCAGGGAAGTTATTATATATACGTATTACAAAGATTTATATTCAATAAATTCGAAATAGATATCAAATTTTCTTCATTTTTTTTTCAGTCAACATTCACGTTATTATCATTGGAAATTCTACAAAATTAATACTTAAAACAAATAAATGCATCGAATTAATTATTTTGAATTATCGAAGAAATCGTGCCAAATAATAAAATAATTAAATAGAGCGATAAATAGAGTGAGTAATACTGTTTGTTTTCTGTTCGATCCATAATAATTAAAAATAGTAATAATGAAAAAAAAAAAAAAGTACTATTGATAGTGCATGCTATCGCAGATCGACGTTCGTAACAAAACAAGATGATGTCAGGAGGTGATAGGACTTCGGCAAGAAAACGGGTAGACAATTGGATCTGCGTCGACATGTTGTTATTTCCTTCGAAATTATGCGAGAAGAATTGTATCGGGTAAGAAACATTTATGTATTTGTTGTATTTGTATATTTCTTGATTAATCATGCTTGTTTATCTTTTATATCATTAATATTCAAACTTTGATAAAATATTAATTATATATTAAATTAGGAAAAAGTTAAATTGATAATGAAATCCATTTAATGATTAATTTAAATTTATTTCATGAATCATATTATTGATAAATATATGTTATCACGGCGAGAGGAATTAGAATTATCATTAATTAAAACAAAATTTAAAAATAGTAAATAGTTACTATTTATAGTATAAGAAAGGTATATATTTAAGTATTTATAATATTAAAAAATTTGATATTGATAATTTTCAAAAATATAGGAGAAAATTTATGTCTATTAAAATTTGTAATAAATTTATCGATTTATTATAAATACAAGATTTGAAAAAAAAAAAAAGGAACATTAATTTTTGCAAATTTTTCAAAAAATAATTTTAGAAAGATTCGAATGTTATTTCAAAAGATAAAAATTAAGAAAATATTATAAAAATATTAGATAAAATATTAGATAAATCGTTATATTATATTATATATTACATTGATTTTCTCTTGAGTACTTTCCATCGATTGTGATATCGTTATATAAGATAAGTTCGTTCATAACTTTTTCACCCTATTCCATCGTTATATCTTGTCATGGTTCATCGAATTAGTAGAATATTTCTATCAAATATAATCGGATAAATTTTTATCAACATTTTTATAACACTGAAAGGAAACAATTTTTAAATTTTCTAATTGTCACAAATACATCTTGACTATTTTTTCAAATAATAATTCTTACATTTTCATGAAATATTTAATCTACAATAAATATTTAAATATTCAAATGTAATTTAATAATATTCATATTATGTTAAATGTGTAAATTTAATAAAACGTAATATATAATTAAATTAATATTAATTTAATTTTACTAAATTTTATTAAATTAATATTAGAATGAATGAAGAAAATAAATAATATGATAAAATATTTAAATAATATATAATAATTTAAATAATTTAAATAATTCTTCTGATGCACTAACTTCTTTTTATATATATGTGCGAAATTGTTAAAGTAAGAGTTACATATAAATTGGAGAAAAGTTCCATGGAAAGTTGGAGAAACTTATATTCATCGTGTTTATTCTCTCAATGATGATTTTTCTTTCATTTTGATAATAACAGATTGCTATACATATGTATATAAGTATATTCAATAAGATATGTAGATATATAATATGTTGTTAAGAGACTTTTCCTTTATTCCTTTTACGGGAAGAAGCAACGCAACAAAACATTACTTCCAATTACTTCGGTTTCACTGATTTTTTTAATTGAACTGCTTTCTCTTATTATGCATCATGAATAGATTTTGCAGTTATTTGCCTTCATAATTATGTTATCTACGTTATAGAAAGTAAGATCATCTTTTTGATTTCATTTCAAAGTTAAATAATGATAATGTAATTGAATCGAAGAAAAATATTATTTTTAAATGTATTTATAAATTTTCGTGTCATACATGAAATATTAAACAAAATTTAACTTTTAATTTCAATAATTTTTTTTAATACAATCAATTTTTAATACATTTAATGAACACTTAAATTAGGATTATCAAATTAAAAAATATTTTATATCTACAATTATACAGTAAAAATGAGTTTGCACGATTATTGTATACATATATATATATATATATATATAATGTTAATAAATTAAAATATTAATATTGAAAAGTCAATTATATTTTCAGAGTAGAAAAATGATATACAACTTACGCTAGATTAAATCTTCTTTGTCCTTGTACGTGAAATATGAGTATTTTTATAAAGTAAAATATTCTCTTCAGCCTTGTATCGTGAATTATTCATAAAAATCAGATTGCGTTTGTGATACGTGGCATAAGTTTATTGTTCTCGATGGCATGAGATTTACACAAATCTCTAATTCCAAAACAGTACAATTGAATCTTGAATCTTGAAAGAACGATCGAAATAAATCTCAAGATAATCAGAGATAACATCAACTTATTTACAACTCCAATTAATATTTACTCGAAATTCGATATAGTTATAAAAGTCACTCTCAAAAATGACAAAAATTTTGAAATTTCTACGAGTGTTTTCAGAAAATAGTTTTGAAGAGAAAAGAGACAGAAAATGTCTCTAAAGCAGAGAATTAAATGATGCCACTCAGTTTAGTTTTCAACAATTAAATACAATTGACTGGCACCGGTTATCAGGAAACTGTCATGGTTCCATATTTGTGCACTTATTGTCTTGTGACTTATTGATAATAAAAATGGTAATCTTGGGTTATCGGGAACTGGCTACATTCACGATAATTAAAATGGACAAAGATACAACTGAGTCAATTGGAAGACAGTTTCTGCCGGTATAGCGACAGTTCCGTTTGACATTAGTGAAAATTAATACAAATCACTATCATTTTCTGTAATTGTATACACAAAGCAAGGTTAGTGATACTTTGTGAACAATCTTTGAGAAATTAATAATAGACTGTTGTTTCCTTACACTCTTTTATTAAATTTTTAAAATTATTTTAATTATCTTATACAGAGGATATTGGAATCACAGTAATGTAATTCATAATGTATGAATTATTATTTATATTTATATAAATTAATATTTAAGAAAAGAATAATTTTCTTTGAATATTTTTATATAAATATTCTATATTCTATAAATATCTCTGTTCTAATGTGAATATAAGTTCTAATGTAATTGTGTTGGTTTTAAATTAATTTGATAATTTGAAATTGAAATTATGAAGATAGTTTCATTTTTTTATTAATATGTGACACTGCTATGATTCTCAATGAAGTAAGGAAAATTTAAAAATTCTAATAAGTCTTTTTTAAGAGAATAATTTTGATATTTATAATAAATTGTGATAATATAATAAAATAATGAAGTAGAAATTATCAACTAAAAATAAGAATAAGCAAGAAAGTTGTAATTTGGAAACAATTGATTGTGAGTAAGGAAAAATAGAATATTTAAAATTTTATTGTGTTTTAGTGCCAAATAGAACTGAATAGATTTAATATTTAACAAAATTATAAATTATACGATACACAAATATAATTTGTGTATTTAATTTTGTAACTTTTGTTTAATAATAATTTTTAAAATAGCGTTTGTTGGTAAAAAATGGCAAAAATAATTTTTTTTTTCAAACTATTCGAAACTGTCTGTTTCATTTGTTTCTTTAAATAAATTTAATTTTAAAATATCTGAATCTTTCAACAGATAAAGAAATTATTAAAAGTGGTAAATATATGATAAGTATAATATAAAGAAGAAAAAAATTATATTTTTTGGAGATAATATTATTGCACTTGTTAATGAATACGTTTGGATGATAAGATATTGTATAAATAAGTTTCATAACATTCATTAATTGAATTTCAAGATGATTATTTTTCTATGTAGTTTATTTTAATATTTCACATTTATATTTACCACTTTATTTGAAATTTTTTATTTCTGTCTAATGTTGACAGAAAACCATTTCTTATAATTTAATTTTATAATATTTACAATAATGATTTTTTTTTTTATATAAAAATATGACTGTTTTGAAACTTTTTAATGATATATATTTCTCTGATAGGTCAATGAAACTATTATATCTTACTTTTCTCACTTTTACAAATATTTGTCTCGATATACAATGAAAACAAGAAATTTAAATAGTAAAAAAAAAAAAGTTTAGTCTTTAGAGTTAACGAGCTAATGCGAGCTTGTAATTCAACGTAACTGTATTAAGACAACAATCATGATAGAAGAAGCGGATACATTTTAGAGTTCAAAAGCTATTACCGCGACCGGATGTGTGCAACTAACTCTTTGATGACCCTCGCATTTACCATGCGTATCTTTGATGAGAGTGTAAATAGGTACATGTTTTGAAACTTGTTACAGAATCATGTTATTTCAACGTATATCTTTGATGTTCGATAAAGCACAAAGTAAATATCGTGATCAATTGAAACATCTTTGATGATCGAAAAATGATCTCGATTAACTGATAAAAAGTTAACTGAAAAAAAATTATCTTATTCGATTGTTGCTAGATAACGTAAATAATAATAGGAAAATTTTATATAAAAAATTAGTTCGAGTGGAACACTTGAAACTTCGAAATACATCGAAAAAAGTTTTTTTCGAATCTCGATTGATTACGAATCTTATAAATTTGAAACTCTTAAAACTCTGAAAATAATATTTTTTCAAAAAATATAAATAAATATTCTGAATTTAAAAAATTTTCGAAAATTTCATAAAATTTAAAAATATTTCGATTCGTTTCTAATAAAAAAAAAACTACGTAAAAATCATAAATTTTCTCTATGTTTTTTTTTGGATTCGATAAAAAAAAATTGTTCTATTTATTCAATTTTTTGAATAAATATTTCAGTAAATATATAATAATTTTCACGCGTAATACGGATATAGAGATTATTGAATTGGTATCGAAGGTCGCCACGTAAATGATTTATCAATACCTAGTGATTATGCTGCATGGAAACTTGGGAAAAATAAATTCCGACAATCCAAACATTCCTCCTTTAGACGTGTCACTGATGCTAAACACTCGTCAAAATTTTACGTCATTTCAGCGAAATTTACCGTTATTTATGTTTATGAGTCAGATAAGTATTGAAGTCATTTTATTATTAAGTATTATTCGAAATAATTATAAAAGTTTCAGTTTCAGTAAATTAAGCAGTAGTAAAATAAAAGCTAAAAAAATAAAAAATTAATAATAATATTCGAATTATTTAATCAAAAAAAAAAAAAATTAATATAATATCGATACAAGATATAGTAATAAATAAAAAATTTATTTGGATGAATCATATTTATTGAAATTATATATTTGAAATATTTATTTTTATAGTTATAAAAAATTGATTTAATATTTCGAAACAATAGAATTTATTTCTATTCTAGGAATCGTAAATCTTTTTTTGATTTCTTATTAAATCTATATTACAAAAAAATTAATACATTAAATCATAAAGAGTTGCCAGAAGAAGCTAAAAATAAGAATAATAATTCAATGGACCAAACCTCTACCCACCTCATTATTCAAGCCTATTCATATCCCATGCAGATATACAATCTTGTTCAAAAATTTTTGGATTTTTCACATTTATTATATTTGTAAAAACAAGATAAATCATTAATAGATAGTGTAGAAAAAGTTTATAATATAAATAAAGAAGATTGAAAATTTTACTAAGAAATGCACTGAATTAAAATTTTTTATTTATATTTTATCAAATAATAAAATTTACAAAAAAAAATAATTAAATATAATATATAATAATAATATAAGTTTTAAATAATTTTTTAAATTTTTTAAGTAGAAATGTATATTATCCTTCATTAGTCAGCATAAATGTTTCAATAATTTCATTCTCAATATAAGAGTTAATTATTATAATTTGTTACTAAAATATATAACTACATACTTATTAACTGCTTTTATAAAATTAAATTATACGTATGTTATTTGTTAAAGATAACTATTATAATATATTGTATTAATAATTATAATTTATTACAAAATGATGAGAGTTATTATTTATTATAAAAAAATTAATTATAACCATAATTAAAAAATTACAATTTATTACAGTAATAATTTTTAATCTTCAATTTATAATTAATTAATAAAATTTTATATTCGAATTATCCAAATACTTATGAATGGGAGTGTACAGAGAAGGAGGGACCAAAAATTCTTAATCCATAACCTCTCCTCTCAAAACACTAATCCTGAATAATATCTTCAAAAATATGTCATCTCATAATATATATATCATAGAAATAATCTCTAGAATAACTATTTAAATTTTACAAATAATGCATTCTCTGTTCTATCTTTTGTACTGTATATATGAATATATACAGTAGTAAAAGTAAAAGTTAGATAATACACGATCTAAGTATAAGTGTTTGCTATTCATGCTCATACTGAAAGAGATTATCCTTTACGCACTCATAGAAATATTTATTTTTATCTTAGCTCTTTCTTTTCACTCACTATCCTTTTCTATGTTCGATAAAATACAAAGAGAACTCCAAGCTTCAGTCGAACCATATTGGGATCAAATTTCGACTCAGCTACTTCATAGTGCCTCGCTTAACTCTCGATTTTCATACCAATTTAATGACAACTTGAAAGTTTTTGAATAATTTGAAGGTATTTTTAAATTTTTTTTATATCAGAATTTATAAAGAATTAATTATTAATTAGTTTTTTTATGAATTAATAAATTCATTATTTTTTTTTTGGACAAAATTAAATTCAATTGCTACAAAATATAATGAATTGTTATTTTACTTACATATTTCTAACTTTTTAATGTAGAAACACAATATTTTTAGTATTTATAATTCTTATTTTATCATTATCTTTAATGAAGTCTCTGATTAACATATGATTAATTATTATTTTCTTGCACTTTTTAACTCATAATTCTTTATTTTATCATTATCTTCAGCAAAGTCTTTTGTAACATATAAGTAATTATTATTTTCTTGCATTTTTTATGATTCTACAACTGGAATAATATTTCGATAAAATATTTTTTATATTTTTAAAGAAAATTATACATAAATAAAGACTATATAATATATATATATATATATATATATATATATATAATAATTATATATATAA